CGGTCTTCCTGATGGGTGCATACGACCCGAACAAAAACGAGTTCTGTACAGTAACCAAATGCGGAAACGGCCTCGACGACAGGACTTTACTCAGACTACAGAAGCAATTTAAAATGATCAAAATATCCAAGGTTTGCTTGCGCCTTTTTGTTTACCTTTCACCCCTTTAGGACTATTCCAAAGTGCCCCGTTGGTTAAATGTTTCTCGATCCCTGGTACCGGACTTTGTCGTTGTTGATCCCAAGGTCAGTGTCTGTGTGTGTGTGCACACCTTTGCCCCTCCCCTGCCCTGCCACATCTCGCGTCATTTTGCACTTCACTGACCTCTGTTCTGGTCTGCCGCCACCTCCTCAGTCGTCAACTGTCTACCAACTTAATACTTTCTTCAGCATCAACAAGGGCAAGGTGTAGTAGTAGTACTTACATAGACTGACACCAACCTTGCTGACCTCTTCAGCACACACAGTTGGATCCTTGACGCGGTGCGTAATTTTGCAACATATTATATCCTTTACTGAGACGATCCATGGGAATTGGGAGATTCACGCAGCAAGAGGGCGTTTACTTAGGGGGGCGGGGGGGGTTAGGGAATGGAAAGCTGATCCGTCATTTTTGCCGAGAATACTACTGTTGTCAGACAATGGCCCTGAGTGCGAGAACATCTGACCTGAATCCGGATAGTCGACTATTCGAATCCTAATTGAGATGAATATGCGAGTTCTAGGAAGCAGTTTAGACGAAGGAGAAGCGATCACTGGAAAGAGTTTTATTGTCCTGACGTTTCGGATTCCGTCATCGTCATGCTTCTTCTTCTGATTCGAATCCTATCGCATATTTGTCCCTCCGAAGGGTTCTGCGTTTTTAAGTGTGCGTCTGACCAACATGTTCTGTATTAACTACCAACACCGGCTCAACGTCGCGAGAGTTACAGTAATCATGTTACTTATCGACCCGGAGCCTTGCCGTATTCGCTATGCCTTCGATCGATCAGCCAATTCGCGGTGTATACCACATACGTCTCTTCTCGCCCACTTCGACTTCTGCTTATTACAAAGGATGTAGGATGGATGGAAATAAAAACTGACAACCAACTCGTAACTTGGGAAATAGAAGTAAAGCATAGTACGGTTTCGAGTCGAAGGAATTCGACTACCTGGCTTTAGAGACGCTCTCACATTTAAAAGACAGTTTTGATTCTGCGTCAACCACGTGCCCCAGTGATTGAACTACCCTGGAAGCCTGCTTTTTGAGCAATACGATATGGAAAACGTGTTACAGACGATGACCTTGTCATGACCTTGTTCGTCAGTGCAAGGCTGAAACTGACGTTATTTCTTCCACCGATTGGAATAGCTCTTTATGCGACACTGCTGTGCGAAAGTCAGTTCTCCTTGAGATGACATGTCTCACCGTCAGACATGCAACAAGAGCCTACCCCAACGCTCTGGCCCTTACTAAAAGTCGTCAGTTTAGTCGACCGATTGCTCCATCTTTAAGTCTTCCTTTTTGTTTTATACTTGCTCTTGTGGCTCCTTATTGAAATATAAAGTTTCTCATGAGTTGTTAATGCTTCAGGCGGTCTCACTAGCTCC